AATATTGTTTATGTTTCTGCGATTGATGTGGTGTTGGATGGCTCTACTGGGCAACATACACCTTCAAACCTTATTGAAAACAATACTAAAGGATCATTACCTATAAAGGATAATGTTCGAACCGATAATCAGGAGAACTTTTCAGCTCCTCATCTTTAGGAAGTATCCAGTGCAGAGAGAATTCATACTTCACATATACTAGAACCTACTGTAGTACAAAGGTCGGGAATCTTTCTACTGCGGTTCTACAACCTCATCCAAATGAGCAAGTTATTATGGTTAGTCAGACGCAAGGGACTCACAGCTTATACATGCCCGACAATCTGTTGACCAACACACTGATCAGATGAGCCAGCCTTCAGATGAGGAATGCCAAATTTACACATTGAGGAGGAAGAAGAAGAATGGAGACCTGCTTAAGCTCAAGAACCTAATGGATGATACATTAGTTACTTCGGGTAATGACACGCAACTCACCAATTTGTTAGTTGTCTTCCTTCCTGAAACGTCATGAGGCACTCACCTATAGACATTATAGGAGTAAATACTTTTGTGGTTTGCTCGTTAGAAATGTTTAATTTAGGCGGATTGCTTCGCAGAACTTAATGTTTAGGACGAGTAGATAATAATTTGTGTTATGTCTTTCTTTAGACTAGGTTTCGATGTTTCACTTTCTTCGGTGAACATCACTTTAGTTTTAGGATTCTGAGATTGTTAGTTTAATACGACATAAATCCTCACATTCCTAGGCTTTCTCACTATCTTATATCATGGGATATAAGTCCTAAATTTCTAAATAAATTGTAAGATTAAAATATTATTTAATTTCTCTTTCAAAGATATAAAGTCAAACCATAAGATAATTGAGATGTCACTGAGGTCTCCTCAGTTTCCTTAGCACCTCAAACTTTTCATTCCTTTGGATTCCAGAAATAATTATTTCACATTGAGCATTTCTCTTTGGATAGACCCAGGATGACTTGAGCATATTGTATAAAAAAAGATCTTAATTTATTAGAATTAAATGAAAATATGACACTAAATAGAATAAATATGACACTAAATAGGACACAATGGAGAAAAAAGATTCATGTATCCGACCCCACTTAGTGGGATAAAGGTATTGTTGTGGTTGTTGTTGTATTGAGCATTTCTCATTTAATTCTCCTATAATCAATCATGAAAACTAAACTTTAAATTCTTGAAAACAAAACTCAATCTTAATCGAGAGTTTTCTTAAGTGATTTTGGTTGCTTAAGATATAATTAACTATAAGAGTTTGTGTTTATAGAAGAATTAGTAATCTAGATAATCTAAACCCTACCTGATTTTCGGGCTAGATAGGTGAACGATTTGTTGGAAATTTCAGACCAAATAAATATCCTAAATTTCATAGTTTCAATAGTTGAGTTTATTATCAAGTGATATTTTCATCTACTAAGATGAAGTATTACTTGTAACACTGTGCTTGATTATTTAAATCATTAAATTTATGAGATCTGTTTGGTCTCATTTTTCAAAATTAAAAATATTTTCTCAAAACTAAACTAAATTTTAATAAATTAAATTATTTTTTGAAATTATTAAAGCATATATTAAAAAAATAAAAAGATAAAACACATTTGTGGTATGAAAGTAAATCTTCTTAAGAAAAATAAGGATCGAAAAAAAATAACTATTAGGATATAGATGGGATTTCAATTTAGTTGAGTGAGAAGATCAATTTGAGAAAGGAAGTACGGTGCTACCAACACGGGATTTACATCAAAATTTAGAAAATATCATGCATGCAGAAAATTTAGGGATATGATGTAGAAAATATGTGAAAAGAATCGAAATCCTTGCACCGATCCTCAGAGATTTGGAATTTGAAGAAATCGGAAGTCTTAACATCCGTATAGGGGGACTCACACCGATCATCGGGAATTTAAAATTTGAAAAAATCGGAATTTGAAGGAATCGAAAGTCTTAACATCCGTACAGGGGGACTCACACCGATCCTTGAGAATTTGAAATTTGAAGGAATCAGAAGTCTTAACATCCGTATAGGGGGCCTCACACCGATCATCGGGGATTTGAAATCTGAAAGAATCGTCTTAACGTCCGTTTAAGGGGCCTCACATTGATCCTCAGGCATTTGATTTTAAAGACCACATTGAATTGAAATTTGAAGGAATCAGAAGCCTTAACATCCGTATAGGGGGTCTCACACCGATCCTCGGGGATTTGAAATTTAAAGAAATCGGAAGCCTTAACATCCGTATAGGGGGACTCACACCAATCCTTGAGAATTTGAAATTTGAAGGAATTAGAATTTGAAGGAATTGGAAGCATTAACATCAATTGAAGGGGGTCTCACACCAATCATCGGGAATTTGAAATTTGAATGAAATTTGAAGGAATCGGAAGTCATAATATCCATTGAAAGAGGCCTCACACCGGTCCTCGGAGAATTTGAAATTTGAAATTTGTGAAAAATTTGTGGGAAGTTTGTGAAATTCTTGTGGAACTTGTGGAATTTATGAGAGTTGTGAAAAATGTATGTAGAAATTTATGCAGTGCAGAATTTTGTTGAGATGTCTGTGCAGAGATTTGCGGTGTTGATATTGAATTTTGTGAAATTTTATGTGAAATTTGTGAAAATTTATGCATTGTGGAGAATGTCAGTAGAAGTCTAAGAAGTGCGGAAAAACTATACTAGCTCGGACAACTGCCGGGGACATTACATCCGAACTAAATCTAGTTAAGAAATGCCAAACATCAAGGAACTTATGTCAAATCCCAAGAAAAAGTCAGTCACATTGGGAAAGAATGTCGAAGACTTAAATCAATCCCAAGAGGCGATCGAAGAAAATGTCCATGCGATAAGAGATGTGGTTCCGAAGAACCAGCTAAGCGCCATTCACACGAGCAATAGGACCCAGATTTCCTGTGGGAGGAAACTTCGGACCAAGAGAAATGACACTAGTGACAAGCCGAGAAGGCTCAAGTTGATCAAGTCGAAATTTGAAGTGATGTTCAAAATTTTGATTTTTATTGTTTTGTTTATTTGGTTCGGTGTTGTGTTTCATTTCATTTTGATGTTGAGATTTATTTGACCTTGAATTTTATTTTGTTGCATCTGTTTTATAATTTGGACCCAGTTTTAGATAGGTGTTGCATCTATGTTTCTAAGGACAGTTTTGTCTTTAAAACATCAGAATGCATAGTACTTCTCGAGGCACTATCCATTGACTGGAGACATGTGTAAAAATAACACATTCTTTAAGGTACTATCAAAATTATATTCTTTCAAATACACATAAAGATGTGCTACTTTTAAGAGCGTCACAGCTCGAGAGGCTGCAACCTTATACCATCGTTGTAGTATCACCGATTTGTGTAAAGATTGTCCACATTGTTCTGAGGAATCATTTTGACGTTCGTCAATTGTTGTCAGGGTTAAGTCTTCTGGGCACTGAAAGATATGACTTCTGGGCACTGAAAGATATGACTTCAAGGTAGAATTTCCATTAATTTGCTAATAACATAGCCATTTACTTTAATTCTTTCTTTCTGGGCCTAAGCATATCTCATAATATTTACACATGTGATTAGAATATTTTTTATCTTTCAAAGATATCTTTAAGTCAATTAATAACCGACCAAAAGACCCAAGATCGTTGAACTTTTTTTTGAATATAATATCGGACGAATTTCCTTAAGAAAATATTTCAAGTCTTATTTATTAGAGGATTCAAACACCAATTTTTTAATATATGTCTACCTCAAGCTTCTTCTCAAGGAGATTTTCACATAATTTATCTTTCCTCTTTGATTTGCTATTCCTTTTTCTTTTGCTGAGAATTAATATATCTGACAGAGTACATTTAAATATTTTTGAATTTCTAAGCTCAGCCACCATTTTTTTTTTATTTTGCACCCACCTCAAAATCTTTTTTTTATTTTCAGGGCGATTTTCACATAAATCTTTTTTTAATCATTTTTTTTTGCTCCTTTTGTTTTCTGAGAATTACTATATTTGCTAAAGCATATATATCTTTTAAAGATTTTGAATGTCCAAACTCCCCTGCTCAATAATGCTCAAATATTTCTTAAGACAATTTCTGGGATATTATAGCTCGTTTGAAAGTCAGGACCCAGTCACTTGGCAGAAAATCAAAAGACTTGTGATATCCTTAGTCGATTACTCATATTTCAATCACACAACTTTATTCTGAATTTTACTTAGGACTCAGTCCGAAGTCTTTAAAGTGAAAGACCCAGTTATTATGGTATTAATTTAATTTTCCCCTGAAATCATAACTTCTATCACAATGCTGGAATTTTTTATCTTGGATTACTCCTTTCTCGATTAACCTGTTAACGAACTTTAAATATTTTGTTAACTGTGTTTTCCACACATTAAACAGTTTTGAAAAACAAGTTCTTTCTTTTATTGCGGTGGGAGGGAAGGGACAGACAAACATTGATGTCACTAACATCTCTTTCGACAACAAAAGTAGTACAATAGTGATCAAGATACAATATATCATTTGTCAGCTGCATCGGAGTCAAATGGAACACTAGGCTCAACCGAAATCATATTGATAGAACCTTTTTCAGGTTCTTTTCAAAAATTCTTCCAGGATCCTTATGCTTCCATTATTGAAGTTCTCCTCAAGCCAATCTTTAAAAGTGAAACAATTTTTTATGGTGTGTTCGATCAGCCTGTGATATGGGCAGTACCTCAGATGATCTTTTTCATCAACTTCGTCTGATTTCTTCGATTCAGGGAGCTTGAACTCACGTTTCTTTATTAAATTCTAGAACATATGTTCAACTGCCCCATCCTTGAAAGGATACATTTTGTTCAAATAATTTTTTATGTTCAGGGGTTTCCCACCATCTGTTTGATAGGACCTCTGTTGAAAAGACTGTTGACCATTCTGCTGAAGACGTTGGTAGATCTGTCGAGACTGTTCGACTTGTATCTGCAACGGTCGCTTTCCCCTATTAACCACTGCCACTGTCCCAGATTTCTTCTCAGATGTCTTCAATGACTCTAGCTTTACAGTTTTCTCAAAAAACCCAAGTTGCTTAGCTTCTTCTTGAAGATTCCCAACTTTGCTAACCAGCTTCTCGAATGTCTTGATGGTAAATCCCTAGAATAAGAAATCCACTGGACTATGGATGCTCTTTAGAAGGATTTTGACTGTGTGCTACTCCTGGAGTTGTGGCTCACACTTCATGCTCAAATTTCTCCATCGCATAATGTAGTTGACAGCGACTTTTTTATATACCTAAAAATATAAGAATTTGGCATCACTACTAGAAGATTTAAATCTCCGGCAACGGCACCAAAAACTTGACAGCGACTTTTTTATATACCTAAAAATACAAGAATTTGACATCACAACTAGAAGATTTAAATCACCGGCAACGGTGCAAAAAACTTGATGCGACTTTTAATATGCAATAATTTATGAACCCAGATTTATATATTTATAATGATTTTGTAAAGTCACAATTTCAAACGCAAGTATACGTATCGCTCAAGTAATACAGGGCTCTAGTGGAATCCCTTTTATCGATCCCACAGGAAAGCGAGGTAAGAGGTCCTTAGTCAAATTCTAGTATACTACAATCAGTCATTAGTTTGGAATGTCGATTAAAATAATATTTTATCTAGCAACTACTCATAAATGCAAGTGTTAAATGTAAAGATAGTAACTATAACTAAATGCAAATATTAATTTTAAAGATAACACTTTTTGGATGAATTGGTTTGGAGAATTTTGAGATACTTAAAACTACTATTTTTATGTAATGAATTAGATAATGTAAAGGAATGAGATGCATTAAATATTGTATGTGTCAAATATGAGCAATCTTATTATTTACCCTTTGATCCAGGCATAAAGAACATTGACTAATCCTATGCTTGTTTACTGAATCTGTGGCTAGGCTGGGAGGATACCGGCTCTCACTTCGGAGCTCCCACGTTCCCCTCGCCTGAGGGCTAACATCTCTATCTCCAATTCTACGCCCATCAAAGTATATTTCTCTATTTATTTGCATTCAACTCCCACGAACTTAACCATCCATGGAATCTGAATGTGGTCCACTTTGTTGAAGAATTACACAGCCCTCTTGGGTCTTAATGCAATTACAAC